CATGTCATTTACAATGTTTTATTTAAATTATATAGAAATAAAAATGGTAGCTATAGTTATTTGTAATTGCAAATGTTAATTTAATAGTTCATTGTTGAGACTAATGTTTGACACATTTCTCTACAATAAACATGTTGTATAGTAGTTAGTTGGTAACGTGCAATAATTTAAACATTATAAAAAGATAAAAATAAGACGAATGTTTCATATTGCAAATTGAAAAAGATTTTCGGGGAAAATGTAGTCTCACAGTGATCATCACAAAAGGAGGTATAAGTAATATATTTATTGACAAATTACATACGACATAGGTATTACATAAATTTATAATTTAGCGGGAAAGTAGCAGGGCTCTGTACATCCTAAAGCATTCATCCGAAATTTTAAATACTTTAGACATTTACTGTAGAAACCTAGGATTCATTTAGTGGGGAAAAGTAAAAAAAAACAGTAATCATCTAATATCAAACAAGAGGAGGAAATACTTCATAATGAATGGAATATTTTTATCGTTCTTTCCATAGCAACATTTATTTTGAAATTAATTAATCTTTAAGTAAGGTATTGTGTATATAAAATATAGTATATAAAACAGGAAAATTTCTATATATTATTTTTAATTAAATATTGATTATCAACTTTCCTTCAGATAAAGGGCTCGAATATATTTATAACTAATTAATCTTTAATTAAGGTTTTGGTTGAGATAAAAAGTCAATGTCACGAGCGGGATTCTATCCCACGACCTTCGGCTAAATAAGCCGCTGCTCTACCACTTGAGCTGTCGAACTTCGATCCACTCGGATACTAACTTCCCATCTCGACCTCACCTTTTGAATTTTTCTTCCTTTTTGCCATTTTTCAAATGTCTATTAATAACAACCATGCCTTATTTAAAGATTAATTAACTGGAAAGAATTTATTTGGTCAATCGGCCCACGAAACTTAATGGATTTAGTTTATTTTACAATTGTTTTACTCAATTTATTTTTTTATTTAACTGTACACCTATGTCTTATATTTTTCATTAAAAATATCCAATAAAGAACAAAAAATAAAATTCATAACATTGCAAGTATTAAATTCACTAATTTCGTGGTCCGCTTGACCAATTAATATATTATAATTAATTAAGGTTTTTAGTTGAGATAAAAAAGTCAATGGCACGAGCGGGATTCGAACCCACGATCTTCGGCTTGATACGCCGCTGCTCTACCACTTGAGCTATTGAGGGAAAATTCAAAAGGTGCGGTTGAGATGGGAAGTTGGTGTCCGAGTGGATCGAGGTCACGATAGCTCAAGTGGTAGAGCAGCGGCGTATCAAGCCGAAGATCGTGGGTTCGAATCCCGCTCGTGCCATTGACTTTTTTATCTCAACTAAAAACCTTAATTAATTATTGCAAGTATTTATGAAAAAACGAGATTTGCAAGTTGATATTTTGTTGTGCCTAACAAAATTTAGACGTAAACAAGTTATAATATGTGCCTTTGTAAAATATTAAAATGTGATCTCAAAGTTATATTTTCCAAATCGTTTGTAGCACTAACATTGTTACCTAAAGTTTAAACATTTACCACATTGATGTTTTTGTTAGGGGGTTTGATTTGTATATTTCCAAAATCTAAGTCTGGTTCACCGTGCAGCGATGACCATTTAATGTTTGTCAGCCCGAAAGTCGTACCAAGTAGTACTACTACTAATATAATTGACTTGTAGTTTTGAGCAAAGGTCACTATTGAACCTGTCACGTTTAAATTTAATTGTACCGCCTGCCATTCGACACGCATCTAGCAGTGACCAAAGGAGTAGGGACTAGGAAATGGCTATTCTCTTTCGGTCCTCAGGGCTTTTCCCTTTCCCTAAGTTAAGGTGCTGTTTTTGTAAAAAGAAAACTAATTGGTGTGCACACAATCAAGTGAATTAATTTTATATTTTAATGTCAAAACAAAAAAATAATAGTTGTAGTTTAAAAGAGGTTGCAACTAAAAACATATTTTTATAAAGAAAAATAAAATAAATAACATCTGATTTTAACCGTTTTTTAAAAGTTTAATTTTATTTTAAAAAAGGGAGTAACAAAAAAAATTTACTTTTGCTTTTCTTTATAAAACGAATTAAAATTGATTTTAAAATTGATAAATTTTGTAGATTTTTAAAATAGGTTTTATTATAAAATATAAAAAGATTTTTTAAATAAAAAAATAATAATAAAAACAAATTGTAATTTTATTTTGCAATAAACTGTAATAAAAAGATTTTAAAATTTTTACTCTTTTTTCATTATAACGAATATATTTAATATAATAATATAAGAAGGAAAATTTAAGTTTACATTTAAATAGGTTTTGGTATAAAAGATTTCAAAATTTCAAAGTATTTCGTTGGTTTTATAAACAAAATTTTAGTGAATAAAGAAGTTCTATGGTTTCTATTTTTGTTTTAGTTATTCAGATATCGTGAGATGCGGTCTGGTGTGATGTAGGTTTCAGAAAAACATTTTCTTTATCGTGCCAACGTTTCGATCTTTATTGAGATCATCTTCAGGGCCTGGGATTTACAAACATTATTTAAATTTAACTAATACATGTAGAATGTGGAAAAAAGTGAATTTATACAATGCAAAAAAATATATTTTTTATATTCAATCACAAGCACGATAAAGAAAATGTTGAAAACTACATCACACCCGACCGCATCTCACGATATCTGAATAACTATCGATTAACGGTCACTAATCTCTACACATTTTTGGTTTAGTTGTTTCGAATATTTTGGTCTTATATCTATTTTTGTTTTGTATAGAATATTTGGAATTTACTTATCATTAAAAAAAGGTATGATCGATAGTATAAATTAACCTAGTCAGATCCGATTATAAAAGGGGACCTTGTTTTCCGGTCTCTGGTGTCAGGGTTGGGCCAAAACAAAAAGATACACGCTATACACTGACAGGTAAAAAATTTAACCCACTTGTAATATAACTTGTATTTATTTGTATACATCAATCAAAGTTTCACGTTTTTATCGTTTAATAATTGAGTCTTTGTCTAAAAAAGTAGAAAAAAATGTAAACTGCTAAGGAATAAGAAAAAAAAGACCGACAAATGAAATTTGTTTTAATTTTGTTTTAGATTTTTAATTAACATTTCAATATTGCGGATTTCTTTCTCTTGCCTTAATTGCATCTCGAAGACGCCACGGCATACTTTCTACCAGTCTGGCAATGTCTCTTTGCTGGAGCTTAGCCAGTTTTTCACGAAGTGTCCTTTTAAAATCGTGGAGTGTATCAGGAAGGTATGGACGTGCTCTTATGCGTCTTTTCAGGTTATCCTATAAATGTTCGATGGGGTTCAAATCTGGAGAAAGTGGTGGCCAGGCTAAGACCCTGATGTTGTAATGTTGAGCTGTTGAAGGTACGTTTGTACTATGCTAGCGACATGTGGACAGGCTTTATCGTACATTAGAATAAGATTGTCTCTGATTTCATGGAGGATAGGCAACGCATGATGGTCCAAAATTTCATCCACATAGCGGCCACAAGTGGCCCTCAAAGACGCTCCACGAACAACAACCAACTCTGTACGACTCTCCATTCGAATTTCCGCCCACACCATCATTGAGCTTCGTTGCAAAGGTTGGCTCTGGGAAACATTACAGGCTTTGTACCTTTCATTTCGCCTTCCCCACACTCTTTCACGCCCATCTGGAAATCGTAGAGCAAATCTACACTCATCTGTAAAAGGTATAGCAGAACAATCGTCAAAAGAACAATGGTTGTGTTCTCGAGAAAATAGGAGCCGTGAAACTCTATGGGTTCTGCTCAATTCTGGGCCTCTTACGGGGCGAAGAGCCATCAGTACTGTTACAATAGACTGTTTTAATCTTCATCGAGCAGTGCGTTCAACTTGGACATATCGAACTTCTGGAGCTGATGAATGGCTTGAACAATAGTAAGGTGCCGGTTTCGCAAAATTCTCTAAGTCAAAAAACGGTCATCCTGTAGTTCTGTTATGTTAACAGACGTCCAAAACCAGGCCTTCTATGGTAGGACCCAGTTTCTCGAAAACGTGTAACGGCGTCTCGCAGAGTTTCGTAGGGAACTCCGAAGGCAATAGCCGCATGCCTGATGGAATGTCCATCATCAATAAATGTCACCCAAGGCGCAACATCTTCAGCACTAAATGTAAAAAATGAAATTAAGGAAACAAAGAACTAAACAGTTTTCAATTATTTCATCTTTTTGTTGTAAGGTTTTGGTTGAAATAAAAAAATTAGTGTCACGAGCGGGATTCGAACTTACATAAAAACATTAATTAATTGAAAGAAGTCATTTGGTCAATAGACCACTAAATATAATAGAACTAAACAGTTTATTGCTTCAGAATTCAAACGAGACCGAATAAACATTTTAAATTCCGTAAAACGTAAATATTGAAAAATCATTTATACTTGTTTTGGATTCAGGATTAAGTGTGTTTACTTCTTATTGATATTCCCAATTTAAAACATAGCATAAACAAATATTTATTGGCAAAAACAATTAGACAAATTAAGGGCAGAATTTTCTTTTATCAAGAGAATGAAAAAATCAATTGGGTGGAAATTTTTACCTGTCAATGTAATTTCATGCATATACTTACGTCAATCGCTATGACTAGGATGAGATCACGTGTCCATCGGGGTCAACATGTTTAATTAAAAAATGTATAATGTTATATAAAATTGGATATACGTTTAAGTCTTTGTGAACAAACGTGTTAAGCACAATCTGTACATACACTAACTGTTCGATTTAGAGAATTTAAAGTTAAAAGAGAATAACTGTGATATCCGATAGATATGACGTCCGCAGAAGAATTCGAATTTTGAAGAAATGTAGTTCTCAAAGGCAACACCTGTGTCAGGTGGGTCAGCTCACGTTTCGTGGGAGTCGGAAGAGGGCCTGCTAGGTGGCGACCTCTCTCGACGCAACGTGTACAACCGACCAAGGGCACGTCAGCTTTCACTGCCGCGTACTCCGTTGTTAGTGTCCGTTTGGATGGTGTCGCTAACGGTCTGAAGTGTTTTATTTCCGCTGTGCCGCGTCAAAAAGTGGGTGTGCCGCCATGCAATGATGTTTGTTTACGCCGCCCTTCTCACCATATTCGCGACTGCGGATTGTCAAGTGGGCAGACAGTTCTACGACAAGGACGGCAACTACATCCCGCCCTCGGATGCAGATGTCGATTACAGGACGTATGTGTACGGTCAGCGTCGCTACGGGCAGAGCCCGTCCTACGTGCCCGGAAGGCGGCCCTACAATCCTTACGGACCACCTGACCCTTACGGGCCCGACAACCGATACAACCCTCCCAACATCTATAGCCCCAACTACAACCCGACCCTGGAATTCCAGCCTGGCATCCCTAGGCCTTCGGACCCGAGGTTTGACGTAAGTGGAACAATAAACATATCAACAAGTTGCTTCGTTGCTACAGTAACAACTTCTATTTTTAGTCACGAACTACCGATGTTACTTAATATCGCAGAATCGTCGTTTATAACCGAAAAAACTCGAATTGTCAAGTTCATTGGCCGACACACAATTTTGGGTCGAAGAAATCGCCCAAACCTCATGGAAAGTAGCAAACCACTCACGTGAAAAAAATTAAAATGAAGCTAATTGTCTTATATGATGAGAGTTCCCGATTTCCCCGTCACATCGGATGATTTTAAACAAAAAATATCTTCACTATAATGAATACTTTTAAATTAGTTGATAACCAGACCATCGGCCGAGGTGGTATTGCCACATAGAAATCTATTGTATCCCTCAAATTCTTTCGCTGCCTAGCTGTATTACACTCCCTCCAATTCTTCAATTTCACTATCTATCAAATGTATTACTCCCACTTGGCTCCCTCTTTCTCTCATAATTCTTCTGGCTTACTGTTTCTTTCTATCTTTTATCCACTCAGTTTCTCAATAAATGTTTCTCTCACACTCATTCACTGACTTTCTCTGTACCTTACGTATGTTGTTATTGTTATTCTTTTATTCTTTCTCTCTCTAAAAGACATCAAGTTTAATTAGCTGTGCGTAAAGATGTAAATAGAAAAATTCTGTGTGACAAATTAAAGACAAGAGAAGAAGATAATAGAGAACTAACTATTCAATTAAGTGGATTAAGTGCATTAATTAGTCTCTCCTGTTCTCACGCTCTCACTCTCTCTCTCTTTCTCTCTCTCTCTCTCTTTTTCACTCTCTCTCTCTCTCTTTCACTCTCTCTCTCTCTTTCACTCTCTCTCTTTCACTCACTCTCTCTCTCTCTCTCTCTCTCTCTTTCACTCTCTCTCTCTTTCACTCTCTCTCTTTCATTCTCTCTCTTTCATTCTCTCTCTCTCTCTCTCTCTCTCTCTCTTTCACTCTCTCTCTCTCTCTCTCTCTCTCTATCTATCTTTCTCTCTCACTCTCTCTCTCTCTCTCTCTCTCTCTCTCTCTCTCTCTCACTTTCACTCTCTCTCTCTTCTTTCACTCTCTCTCTCTCTCTCTCTCTCTCTCTTTCACTCTCTCTCTCTCTTTCACTCTCTCTCTTTCATTCTCTCTCTTTCACTCTCTCTCTCTCTCTCTTTCACTCTCTCTCTCCCTCTCTCTCTCCCTCTCTCTCTCTCTTTCACTCTCTCTCTCTCTCGCAACCTCCCTCCATCCCTCCCACCCTCCACTCCATACCACTCTTTCTCTCTATTTATTTATGTATCTACCTCTCTATCTCTTTCGTTTTTTCATGTCCCTATATGATTCATTCTTCACTCACTCAATCTCTCTCTTTCTCGATCCCTCCCTCACATTCATTTCCTTTTTCTATGACTCACCATACTCACTCTCTCTCTCTCTCTCTCTCTCTCTCTCTCTCTCTCTTTGTCTGTCTCGGTCTCTCTCATTTTCTCGTTTCTTCCGCCCCCCTCCCACTTCTTCTTTCTATCACTCACTCATTCTCTCTCACTCACTCAATCACTCACTCTCACTATCACTCACACTCGCACTCTCTTTTTCTATCACTTATTCATATTCTATCTCTCTCTCTTTCTCTGCTTGTCTCACTATCCCCCTCCCTTCCTCCCTCTCGCTCTCACTCTTTTCCCTAACTCTCACTCATACTCTCTCACTCACTCACACACACACACACTCACACAAAATCTCTCTCTCTCTGTTTAATTTTTTCTCCCTCTATTACTCAATTCGCTCACTCCCTCCCACTCTTTCTCTGTCTTTATCCCTCCCTCTTACTCACACTCTTTTTGTATCACTCACTCATCCCTCTTCCTCCCTCCCTCTCTCTCTCTTGCTCGCTCGCTTTTTTTGTCTCTGTCTCTCTTACTCTCTCCTTCCTTCCGTCCCCCCTCTCACTCACTCTCTCTCTCTCTCTCTCTCACTCTCTCTCTCTCTCTCTGTCTCTTTATCTCATATCATTATCTTTTTTTATGATATTTTTATGGTAAATTTATCTCTAATCTTTCATTATTGATTTTCGTCGATTTGTGTGCTAATATTTTATCTCCGTTTGTAAACTAAAGATTTGATAGTAACTGTAATATCTACTTCATGTACCGAACTAAATAATAAAATGCAATGTTTTAACTTTATTGTTTGCTTGTCACGGGGATTCAACTGAATGTATAAAAGAAAAAATTAATTCCAACGAAAAATATTAATCTTAATTCATTTCCTACACCTAGAATCGACTTGTAATTTTGATTTTGCTACATCAGCAAAACCTTTGTAATTTTCCTGATAATCCTTCTTGAACAAGTAAAGTAGGCATTTTTACCATTTTAACTAAATTTTAAGACAATATTATTCAATCAAATTAAGTATACTTAAGAATATCATCTGTTGGTGGGTATGGTCTAGTTGAAATGAAAAATAAGCTTACACAAATACATTGAAGGAATATTCCTTTATGCCCTGGATGAGAATGAATAGATGGCCTTTTGGGCTTTTTTCTAAGTCATTTCGCAATCTCTGAATCATCACTTGACCCCAAAGTGTTTCCGGAACAATTATAAGAAACGTCTTATCAATTGACGTAGATTCCGGAAAAAGTAACTTAACGGTAAGATTAGAACAGTGTGTCATAAATGATAAATGTTCTAATCACGTCTATCATATTTCATAAATGATTTTTATTTGAAAGCATGAAATTTGTGAAATACTTACTGAAATAATTCAAGAAATTAGATTATCCAGGGAAATGCCATTGTACGACAGATTCAACAAACATTTCTTTGACTGTCAAAATGTTCCAAATCGAAAATTTTTAATGCCAAAATTATACACGATTTGAAATTAAAAATTATGCACCATCGTTTTATTTTACGATCTTTAAAGGATTCAAAACATTTATTTTAGCCGTTGTAGTTTATTTAATTTTAAATACAGTCTTTTTTAACACTATTTCTACTCGATAAATTTTTATTTTGATAAGCATTTCTTGTCCAAGTTAGTTTATTTTTACTTTAAGCATAAAACTTTCAAATTCTACTGTATTTAAGCATATTTTGAAGATCATTTTATTGTTCAAAGATAGGCAAAAAAAGTTATCATTTTAAGTGTTTTTTAATCAAAATCTATTTATGGTTTAAGAATCAATATTTTTTGCCTTATTTATCATATTCTACAAATTCGTAGCTAGAGAGTTTTAAAATTTTTAAAAATATTGAACAGTGAATTTTTCGCACCAAGTTAAAATTGTTATAAAATTTTCAATAAAAAAAATTTTTGTTTTAAAAGAATTATTCACTAGTATCTTTTGCTTATTTTTGCTTTATAATATGAAAAAATATTTGAAATACGATGAAATATTTATGAATAAAAAACATCGTTTTTTCGAAAATGTATTTACGTTATTTTGCAAATAGAAGTTGAAAATTAAAACTAGTAAAATTAAAGAAACTGGTTTTGGTTTACATTATTTTACTTTCTGAGACAAAATCATCTTCTATTTTTGGATCTTTTCCTTCGTGTTTTTAAATTAATAATTATGTTTATAAAATTATAAAACATTGTTTTTCCAAAATTAATTTACCTTAGTTTGCTTTTTTGTTTGAATTTGTTTCCATTCAACAGTAAGTTAAATCTTTGAATTCTTTACGTTACCATAAAAATAAAACGGGTTATAATTTAGTTGTTAATTAATAAAGATTTGAAACATTGTGTTTTGGAAAGGGTTGCAACTATGGAATTCAAAATGGAAAGTGCTACATTTGATTTGCAAAAGATTACATGGGGCTTGGAAAAGATCGAATAGACTTGGAAATGCTATATAAAGCAATGAAAAAAATAAAAAAAGATACTGAAACGTCACCCCAAATATGTATCTCTAATTAATGATTCTCGCTCTCGTGGGGCACGTTTGGTTTCGTCGTTTCAGTGTGGCCTTTTTTTATTTGTATTTGTATTTTTTATTTTTTTAAGGGTTTGATATTCATTTTCATAAAAATAATAACCTCAATCTCCATATATACAGATATCACTCTAACGTAATCCCTTTAGAGCTTGTTTAATAAGGAGTCTAGTTCCTTCTTTGAGCCTTAGCTGTAAGCTCATCGAACAGTTCAAACAATGGGGATTGCCATCCAGTTAATTGGGCGGTGAATCGTCCTGTTTGGGCTGATACCAAAGAAAACAAAGATCCAATGACCGTCGTGGAAATCCGTCGGAAAATTCGAGCCTGTCAACAAAAATATAAGTTTAGTAGAGTCGTGTAATACGGTTGAAACACGTGTTAAGCGACAAACACCGGGAACCGATTTTTGCCAAAGGGACGTTTGTCCATTCGAGTGCCGTTGTACACCGTCACCATGGTGTTATTTCAGTAAACAAATGTTCCCTATCGATTAACCGCCTCGTCGAAATGAAAACGTTGAACTTGTCGTGGAAAATGAACACTACTCGTTGTACTGGAATTTGTGAGCAAACTAAAATTTCTCTGTTGAATGTCCCAATATAGTATGTTATACAGGCTGTCCGTTTTAGATGGTCCGGCTGAATTTCTCCTGAACCAATGACGCTATCGAGACACCAAAAAATACGTGTTTAATTTGTTAGTTTAGTTTCAAATTTTTACCTTTTTTTGTATCTTTTTTGCACATACCTTTAAACAGGTACCTCAGGCTCAGTTCAACTTCAATATTCCAAATAAGACCCTATACAACCTGAAACATTTTAAAAGATCCTGTACGCTGAAAATCATGGTGCAATCCGATTTTAAATTGGTCAAAAATGACAAAATCAAGGCAAAAAGTTCGAAAAAATAGGCATTTGGTTTGATATTTATTAATCACATTTCATGTTCGATATGCCTCCTTTGCTCTGTTTAACCACTCTTCACCGGTGCTCCGAGCGATATAGTCAGCGGCGATGGATTGAGCATTGAGCAAGCATTTTATATCC